CTAGAATTTTCGGTGAGAGTCACTCTTGGTTCGAAAAGGTCAGATAAGGCTGGGAATTCGTACTAGAACGGTACGAAAAGTATCAAAAAGTACTAACTATGGTACCGTTTGTATTTGAGGAAGCAGCAGAGCTAGAACTCTTAAACTTCGAATGGGGGTCACTGTATGGTAGATTAAATTTGTATGATATATGCACCGAAGGGTTTTTGGAAATTTGCACCCTAAGTGTAAGAAAGTACTAAAATGTGCTACGTTTCGTACCATTTCGTATCATGTGAACGGTTAGAGCTAAAACCTTAAAATTTTGAATGGAATTCCATGTTGGGGAGTATGGTTGATGTAAGGAGTTAGTCGTGGAAGTGTGTACTCATGTATACGAAAAGTACTAAACGGTACTAAAATCAGTACAATTTGAATTTTGAGGAACGGATGGAGTTGGAATCCTGAAATTTGAAATTAACATTGCATTACCGAGTGTATGATAGTGATATAGGAGAAGTTTTCGAAATTTGTACTTATTTGCACAAAAATTCTGAAATAAGATGTAGTATGTAGTTTTGGAAATTCGTACTTATGTATACTTATATATGTACTAAATTTGGTACAATTTAAATTTTGGAGAGTCAATATAGTTGGAATCCTGAAATTTGGAAATAAGATTTATATTAAACTGTATGATGTAGGTAGTTATGTAACTTTGTACTAAATGGTACCAAATCTCCTACAATTTGGATTTGGGTGAACCGATAAATCTGCTATCCTTGGAAATTTGGAAATTTGATTGGAAATTAAGGTTGTTGTTGTAGTGTAGGATTGGAATATGTAGATAGTTTTAGAAATGTATACTTATATGAACTAAAATATAGAAAATTTGGTACAATATGTACTTAGACGAACCGAACTGTGTGAGTGTAGATTTGGTGTATGTAGGAAGCTTTGGAAATTCGTACTTATGTGTAATAAATGCTACTAAATTTGTTACAATTTGTACTTATGTGAACCAATAGGGATGGAATCCTGAAATTTATAATTGGGATTATTGTGTACAATTGTGGTATGTAGGAAGCTTCGAAAATTCGCACTTATGTGTACAAAATAGTACTACATTAGGAATAATTTAGATTTAGGTGAACCGATAGGGCTTGGATCCTGAAATTGGGAAACACGATTTCTCATGAATTGTATGATGCAGATTTTGGATTGTTACTTATGTGAACGAAATGGTACTAAATTTTGTACTAAATAGAATTGTGCTGAACCGACAAAATAGGAATCCTGAAAATTGCAAACAAAATTTTGTTTTGGAAATTTTGAGTGTAGGTTACGAATAATTCTAAAATGGTACTGAACTTCTAATATTGTACTATTTCGTAAAAAGATATTTGGTCTGAGCATCAAGGTTGGAAAATAAGATTTATATAGGAAGGTACTTTTGGAAATGTGTACTAATTGTGCGAACTGTACTAAATTTGGAACTGTTTGGTTAAGGGTAAACGGAATATTGAAATTTTGTTTTGGAATCCCATTTGGTGGATGGTACTATATTTAGTATATGGTGAAGGGATGGAGATACAATCCGGAAAGTTGATATTTAATTATTTAATTTGGTTTCTGCTTACATATGGAGACGTTGAAATTGTTTTGGACAGAAAAATTGTAAGTGGGTCTATTGTTTTGTTATTGGCTTTGCAATATCCTCCTCAGTAAGTTTCAAAATAAAAGATTCTGAAGACTTTCCGAAAATGGGAAAACTTGAGTATGATGTATGAGGTTTTTATTGAAATATTTTTAATATTTTAAATGTTTTTGCTGGTAGCAAAAATTTTTACATTTTGCAATATTTGCTTACATACGAACTATTCCAAAAAGTGGACTGACATGATCGGTTTTTAAGTCACTGATGTGGGAAAAAAATTAAAAGTTTTTCAAAGCTACCCGAAACTCTTTGGGAGTCATTCGATAGTACTTGATTTGTAGATCAAAACCAGGTACTATCTACTTGGAATTTTCCACACCCCAAACTGGATTTTCGGATTTTTTGGATAAATTTCGAGAAATCTGAGGAGAACTTCCCCCCTTAATTATACCCTCAGCCATATGGCTACAGAGGGTATATATCATTTGATAGGTCGAAACTTGCCTAGTCGAAATAACAGTTTAAGACCCTAAGTCTCTTTGGACCAAATCCATTTCAGAACATTTGGAGTCGATCTAGCGATTCCGCCCGTCTGTAACCAATTTGGTCCAATTTGGTCCAAACTTGGTACATCGTAATATTTTTGTCAAACTTAGATCGGGTTCGGAGTTCGGTCCATAGCTTCTTCACAAAAAATCGAAAAAATATATTTTTTGCATAGAAAGAGAAAAGATAATCCGATTTTGCTCAAACTTTGGGAATGATAATATTTCCAACAGTGCTAGGTCAGGTGTGAAAATATACAATATCGATCCACTCCATCAAGTACCTTCCCCACAAATGGTCAAAATTTTGAATAATTACAACTCTCATAAAATGTAAAGTAATTGCCTTCAAATTTCACACATCCCAATATTTATATTACCCCAAGATCTGGTGTTAGGATGGAATATATCGGTCCAGTCCTCCTGGCACCTCCACAACAAATGGAAATTTTCAAAAAAAAAAAAAATAAATAAATAAATAAATAAATATATATATATATATTTTTTTTTGCGCTGAAAGAGAAGCAATAATCCGGGTTTGCTCCATCTTTGCAAATCTAAATATTTGAGTCAGTTCTAGGACAGATGCAAAAATGGACAATATCGGTCCATTGTATCAAGTGCCTCTCCCACAAAAGGTCGAAATTAAATTGAAATTAACATCGGATACCATTTAGACTTGGCACATCTGAATATTTCTATCAACACAGGATCTATTAAAAAAACGGTAGAGATCGGACCATTCCTTCTGTTTATAAAATCCGAAATAAGCATCAGGTTCTCTTCATATTTAACACATTCCATTATTTCAACTAACAAAAGATCCGTTGTGAAGATGGGATATATCGGTCCACTCCTTCTGGTATCTCCCTCACAAAGGCTCAAAAGGAAGCTTTTTATGAGCTTCATGGTTATTCAAAAAAAAAAAAAAAAAAAATGAAATCCGATTCCATTCAAGACTTGGTAAATCCCAATATTTCCACCAACACAACACAGTCCAAACCTAGCACGTCGCAATATTTATATCATATTTATTTAGGATCGATACGAAATGGGTAATATTGGCCTATTCCTCCGGAACCTACTGCATAAGGGGTTAAACATTCTCATAACAAAAGCACATAATCATAACAAAAGTCAAAATATTTTTAAATGATCGAACATACGCTGAGGGTATACAGCTGTCGGCAAAACCGACCGACTTTTTACTTGTGTTGATTACATTTCGATGTAACTTTCAAAACGCCTATACACGTGTCTCCTTTTTATGATCCCCTAGGGAGGGAATATATCATTTGCTACGGCCACAACGTTTCTCATACAAATAACGGTTTTAGACCCTAGATATCTTTGCACCAAATCCTTTTAAGGATATTTGTAGTCAATCTAAAGTTGTCCGTCCGTCTTTCTGGCTCGTGAGCACGATAACTCTCGAAGATAATATCCGAAATGGTCCAAACTTAGTACATCGTAAAATTATTATCAAACTTAAATCGAGTTCGGAGATGGGCAATATCGTTCAACTCCTTCTGGTACCTACCCCACAAAAGGTCGAAATGTTCACATAATTTTTTTTTACTGCACAGAATAAGAAAGGATGACCCGATTTTGCTCCAAACCAAAACGAGGATCACAATATTTTTACTAATGCAAGATCCGGTGTGAAGATGGAATAAATCAGTCCACTCCTTCTGGTACCTCCCCCACAAAGGGTTAAAATTTTGAATATCCAAGAAGTTCATAAAACGCGAAATTTCTATATATATTTCTATTAAATCAAGATCTATTATAAAGATAGTAGAGCTCGAACCATTCCTTCTGTCCAAGAACAAGCAAAACTATCTTAAAATCCGAAAATCCGCATCCGGTTATCTTTATATTTCACACATCCCATCCCTACTAACACAAGATCTGCTATGAAGATGGAATATACTATACTCCTTCTGATATCTCCCCCACAAAGGGTCAACATCTTGAATATTCATGAAGCTCATAAAACGCGAAATAAACATCCGATTCCATTCAAAATTGGTACAACTTAGTGTTTCCATCAAAACAAAATCCGTTATAAACATGGTAATCGTTGGCCGTTTGAAGGCCATAATTCGTACCAAAGGTGACAATTCGAACAAACCTAAACTTATTCTATAATTTGATACTATTTCCGACATTTTTTGCTTCCATTCAAAAAAAAAATTTTAAAAACTGTAAAAATTATGGGTTTGATTTTGTTACAGTTTTTTTATCTCACTCTGTATCTTAATTACTTGACACGTTTATTTTCATATCAAGTCATATCAAGTCTTCTTAAAATCGGAAAGTAAGAAATCACAACTATTTTTTTTTTTTTGATGCAAACTGTCAATCCCATATTTTTTCGTTACAACATAAAATTACAAATATCCATAAAAATAATATCATACAAGTTCGTACACGACATGTCAAAGCGACAGGTACCAACCAACCAGCTAACAAACCCATTGATGTCTTCGTCCCTTTTTCTTAAACGGCCAATAAAAAAGCAAAACAAAGATTATCGATGAAAGAGTACGCATTTCACTTTCTCCATTGTCTTCAGACTGAGTGACTGACCGATTGTTTTTGTTTTCTTTTTCTGAGTGTCTGTCAGATGCACAGACAGCGTTTTTTTTGTCGGATCTCGTGTTGACGGAAATATTGCGTTTGCGTTTGGATTTTGCTAAGTGTATTTTTACATTGGGGTTGTTTTATGTATTGTTTTTGGTGTTGCTATTGTTGTTGTTGTTGTCGCCGTTGTTGGTTTTCAATGTCGTCCCGCCTTGAGTCCCGACTCATTTCGAATTTTTAAGTAGAATCAGTGTTAGTGTGACAACTGAAGTTACCGGTACCTGACTGCCTGCCGTCGCTGCTGGCCGTCCGTTCATCGTTCGCCGATCGTTTACCGTTCACGTTATAAAGCGATCGTTTGTTTTATTTGGGATTTGGGTATAGCTCAACACAAAGTAAGTAGAGGAATTTTTGTTTTGGTTTTTTTTCGTCTTTTTTTTTTTTTTGGAAATATTAAATTATTTTACTACACTGCAGACAGTCATTAACGAATTTTTGTTTAATTTTTCGATGTCTTCTTCTTTTTTTTCATTTTTTTCGGGGGGTTTTAGAAAGTTTTTTTGTTACTTTAGTTCGACCAAGCGCATGCGGCTATCGGTTTTGGAAAAGGTACTTGTGACGGAATCGAAGACCAGAGATTGTTTATAGCTATGGAATTTTCACCACCGGTAAGTTGAGAAAAAAGTTTTGTTTTCCCTTCGATTTTTAGTAGAATAAGTTCAAATCTCTACGGAAATGAGGTAGAAGAAATTATGAAGGTCATTGGTTTAAGAAAACAAAAGTCATTGAAAAATTCAATTGAGAATAACTTCAAACAATAAATGTTAGCCAAGAACGGCATGAGAATTAAACAAATGTTGATACAGAGAATGGGGGAAACTTACTATATTACTAAGGGACCAAAACTGTCAAAGGATCGGCAACCTCCTTCAAAATTCTTAAATTGGCCAATAATATTATTGGTCGAGTGACAAACACTTCAAATATCATGAGAAGACCTCATCAGATTACGAATTTGGCACCTGTACCAGAACATGGGCCTTGATGGCAATTTTGCCCAAAAAGTTGGTCTACGGAATCTTATTCTAAGGAACAGCAAAAAGTTCTACTTTTTGGGTTCTTATTTTATTAAAATATGAAAAGAAAATTATTTTCTAATTTTTTTCGGATTGAGCTTATAATGGCCTAAAGGCATTAACAATTGGAATCTAACGAAGTCTGAATACAACAAATTTGAACAGAAAAAAGCATATGGAATTTGTAACAGAAAATTGCATATGCAGGTCCAGGTCTTCGTATAGCCCCCATATTACGGACTCTTTATATATTTTGACGGTTTTAGCGATATTTTTCACCGAAAAAAAAAATGTCCGCCTGTGGAAATCACCCTAGCTTCCGAACGAAATTAATAGGTTGCTAAAATGTTACAGAAATGTATATTATGTCTGCAGGACTTTCAGTATTGAAAATGGGCCATGTATGTCCACGTTTTGTATAGCCCCCATATAGCGGCACCTCCCGATATTCGGTATTTTGATTATTTTAGCGACAATATTCTGCGGAATTGTTTCAAATTTGGTATTTGAAGTTCATAATGGACACCACAACCTATGACAGAAAATTGTCTGTGCAGGTCCACGTCTTCGTATAGCCCCCATATAACGATACCTCCCGACATTCGGTATTTTCATGATTTAAGCCATATTATTCAATTTTTCCTAGGGCGGATCTACTTTCAATTCTTTACTAAGATTATTTCAGGTAGTAGAAAAAGGAGGATCTATTCAACTATTTAGCCATGGATGTTTCATTTTTTTTTTGTCAAGAGCGTAGCATTTTTTTTGCAAGGAAGTATTAAACATGTTTTGAAGATTTTCGGTACTTTTTAAATATGTACTGGGTTACAGAGTCCATCCAACAAACAGCTTCGAATTAAAAAAAAAATATTGAGCTCTTTTGACTATTTTTCCTCCAAGATAAAGACTTTCCTTTAGATTATTCCAATTTTTCACCCTTTATTGGGCAGGTTCCGAAAGCGTTGGCAATATTGTCCATTCCTTTTGTGGGGAAAGTTCCAAAAGGAATGGACTGATATCTATCATCTTAACAGCAGATCATGTGTTGATAGAAATATTGGGTTGTGACGAGTTTGAAAGGAATTGGATGCCCATTTTGCGTCTTATGAGCTTCATCGCTATTTAAATATTGACCCGTTGTAGGGGAGGTACATGAAGGAGTAGGTTGATATATCCCATCTTCATACTTGATCATACTGAAATATTAGGATATGTGAAATTTGAATATAATCTGATTATTATTTTGCATTTTACGAAAGTTGAAATTATTCAAAATTTTGATCCTTTGTATGGGAGGTACTAGAAGAAATGCTCCGGCATGTTCCATCTTCACACCAAATCACGCTTTAGTATAAATATTGGGATGCTTAAAAAAAATTGGGTGCTCAATTCATATTTTATTATTGCTTTGGTAATTCAAAATTTTGACAATTTTAAGGGAGGTACCAGAAGGTGTGGGCCGATATCTACCAGCTTCACAACATATCTTGTGCAGATAGAAATATTGGGGTGTGACAAGCTTATTTAAATTGAATGCTCATTTGGCGTTTGAATAACTAAAACTATCATAGGCTGTTAACAATTTTGACGCGCTGTGGGGGAGGTACCAGAAAGATTGAACCCGATATGTCCCATCTTCACACCAGATCTTGTGTTAGTAAAAAATATTGGGATGTGTGAAATTTGAAGACAATCAGATTCTTATTTCACGATTTTTAAGAGTAATAATTATTTCAAATTTTGACCCTTTGTGGGGTGGGCCGATATTCACCACACCTGACCTAGTATTGATAAAAATATTGGGATTTGCAAAGTTTAAAACAAAATGAAATGAAAAAATTATTTTCTTTGAACATTTTCATATTTTGTGGGTGAGGTACCAGAAAAATGGACCGATGTTGCCCATCATCGAACTTGATCTAAGTTTGACAATAATACTATGATGTACCAAGTTTGGACTAAATCGAATACTGCCTTCTAGAGTTATCGTTCGCACCAACCAGACAGATGAACGGACCGACACCCCTAGATCGACTCCAAGTGTTCTGAAACGGATTTGGTCCAAAGAGACCTAGGGTCCGTTATTTCGATTAGGCACGTTTTGGGTTTATCAAATGATATATAATCTCTATGGTCATTTGAGGTAGTTTTTCTAAGAAGATTGCCCAGATACGATAAAAATTTTGGCCCTTTGAAAACTTCTCCCCTAGGAGGCAGTTTGTCCAAGAAAGTCTCTCTAGTCCATCAACTCATATTGAATTTTTACTTCCTTGGGAGAAAATTTGATATGAGTTCGTGGACCAGATAGACTTTTTTGAACAGACTACCTACGTTGTAAAAGGGCCCAAAATCTTTATAGAAGTTTGGTACAATTTTTATTTATTTTTTAAGAAAAAAAAAAATTAATAATGTCAGACATTGTTAAAAAGGGGACTAATTTTGACTATTTCTCAAATAAAAAAATTAAATTTCTTTGACTAGTTGTTCTAAGAATAATGTCTAACTGCTATAAAGCATTTTTAAAAAAAAAATCGTTTTCCAGTAGTCTGACCATAAAGGAAATATTAAATTTTTGTCAAAGTGTACACCTTCTCCACCACTACACAGGCTTTACTATGAAGTGAACCCATTTTGACCAGGTGGCTAGGTTGTCTGCCAATTTCCCCCTCTTTTTTCCAGTCACATTTCAAAATTATGCTGTCGTATTCGAAACTATGGACCATTAGATGAAGATTTCCAATTGCGTATTGAATAAAAATACAAGCCTATTCACCATCTTCTGTCTGATGTCATAAAAACTGTTTTTGTTTTTTCGATTTTTCATTTTATTTAAATGGATTCTCATATAATTTCGGGAAAATTTACATACACGTGTTTTTAATGTAAAAAAATCTTGATTTTATTAGATTCCTGTTTGGGTTTTTATGCCTTTTTGTATACTTGTTTGCTTTTGGTCACAAACCAATCAAATATTGTCCATCGATGTAATCAGATCAGACTGCCATGTGGGTTAACCTTCACCTTTTTTGTAGACTAGAGGTTTTGACAGACATTTTTGACGTCTGGGCAAACCGTGTGTTGAGCCATTCAAAGAAAACAATGATTGACCAGTTGAAGTTTTCCAATAATTCATAAACTTTAGGCTATTGATCGAGCATCATCAAAGACCACATGTTTGGTGTTACAAGCAACATGTCTCAAAACAAATAAAAAGCATTATGTTTGGCCGGGCACTTTAGGCACTTGCAATACCCCTTACCATAAGGCAAATAAAACATATTTAAATTAATAAATTATATAAATTTAAAAGTATCTAAATTCCGTATTCCAACGTGTTTCACTTCGAACTTTAAACACCAGAGAGATCAGTTGGATAATGCAGTTAATGTTTTTAAAATACCATCCGATAGAAAATGTGACCTTAATCGTCAAAATACTGAATATCTGGAGCTGATACTGTATGGGGGCTATAGGACAACATGGACCTGTATAGACAATGTTCTGGAGTTAGAAGCTCTTACAAACTCTTAACACCAAATTTCAAAAATGTTGTCGAAAAATGTGACTAAAATTATAAATGTACCGAATATCGGTTATATGGGCTCTAAAGGAAAACTAAGACCACATACAATGCAAACTATTGTGGCACAATTCAAATAATTTTGGGCTACATCTTGATTTCAACAGAAACAAGGACATTGTTTAATCAACGACTATTTAGAGGTGCTACAAACCTAATGACACATTTAAAATACCCTTCTTTCCAGGGTAAGGGCTATAAAATGAAACACGAGTAAGTTGTAGCTGGCGGAAGGTGTCAATATTGTTTAAATGTTCAAATGTTTCAATTTTATTATCATTATTATACCCTCACCATTCTATAGGAGGATACATTAACTTTGTTATTCCGTTTGTAACTCCTCGAATTGCAAAGTAGATATATTCTGGATCATCGTAAAATTCTAAGACGATTTAGCGATGTCCGTCTGTGGAAATCACTCTAGCTTCCGAACAAAATGAAGTAGGTTGATAAAATTTTACTCAAATCTGTATTATGTCTGCAGGACTTTTGGTATGGAAAATGGGCCATGTAGGTGCATGTTTTGGTACAGCCCCCATATAATGGTGCCTCCCTAATTTCGGTGTTTTGGTGATTTAAGCGACATTATTTACCGGAAATGTTTCAAATTTGGTATTTGAAGTTCGTAATGGATACTACCACCTCATATAATGATACCTCCCGATATTCGGTATTTTGATGATTTTAGCGATATCATTCACCCGATTGTTTCAAATTTGAAATTCAAAGTTTGTAATGGGTACTACAGCCTATGTCTACAAATTTCAATTAAATGTTCAATAAAATATAATTTTTGCACAGATAGAAAAACAATAATCCGATTTTGCTCCAACGTGGCAAATCCTAATATTTGCGGCATTGCTAAGTCAGGTGCGAAAATGGACAATATCGGTCCACTCCATCAAGTACCTCCCCCACAAATGATCAAAATTTTGAATAATTACATCTCTCATAAAATGTGATGTAAGAGTCCGATTGTCTCAAAATTTCACATATTCCAATATTTTTATAAACCCAAGATCTGGTACTGAGATGGAATATATCGGTCCACTCCTTCTAGTATCTCCTCCACAAATGGTCGAAATGTTCAATAAAATATATTTTTTGCTCAGAAGGGGAAGCAATTATCCAATTTTGCTCTTTCTTTGCAAATTCTAATATTTGCAACAGTGCTAGGTCAGGTGCGAAAATGGGTAATACCGGTCCACTCCATCAAGCGCCTCTCCCACAAAGGGTCAAAATTTTGAATAATTATTACTCTTATAAAATGTGGTGTAAGAGTTCGATTGTCTCAAAATTTCACGCATACCAATATTTTTATAATCACAAGATCTGTTGCTTAGATGGAATATATCGGTCCGCCCCTTCTGCTACCTCCCCCACAAAAAATCGAAATTTTCATTATCCATTAAGCCCATGAAACGCGAAATTAACATCTGATTCCGTTTAGACTTGGCACATCTGAATATTTCTATCAACACAGAATCTTTAAAAAAACTGTAGAGATTGTACCATTCCTTCTGGTATCTCCCCCACAAAGGGTCAAAGTTGTGAACAACAAAAACGTTTATTAATTTCGAAATAAGCATCAGGTACTCCGTATATCCATGAAGCTCATACAACGCGAAGTTAACATCCGATTCCATTCAGACTTGATACATCCCAATATTTCCATCAACACAAGATCTGTTATAAAAATGTTACAGATCGGACCATTTCTTCTAGTACCTCCCCCATATAGGTTTCAAAATTTTGAAAAACAAAACTCTCAAAGAAAACGAAATAAGCATTCAACTCACTTCAAATTTCACACATTCATACATTTTTGCTAACACAAGACTTGTTTTATGATATATGTATCTGCAACCCAATTCTGGTACCTCAACCACAAAGAGTCACAATTTCCAATACTTTTACCTGTCATAACTTGCGAAACATGTCAACGATTCTTTAAAACTAAATATTTCTCGCAACCAGAATCCTGATATGAATATGTATTTAATGATTTCGCATAAAATTGGATATAAATATTCGATTTTCTTATAATTTTCCCATATCAATATTTTTATCTGTATTAGATGAAGTATGGAAATAGAATACTTCGGCCGACTATATCTGGTACCTCACGCACATTTTAAAATGCCCTCAAAATTATCACATATTTCATATAAAGTGAAGGAAGTAGTCGATATAGCCCAAACCTGGCACCCCGCAATGTTTACGTCATATTTTTTAGGTCGGACACGAAATGTACAATATTGGCCCATTCCTTTGGAACCTACTCCATAGAGGGGCACCAATTTGACCAATCATATCAAAAGTCAAAATATATTTAAATAATCGAACATTGGCTGAGGGTTTACATCTGCTATTTTTAACTTCTTTTAGATATACAATGGAAATAGAGATTTCTTTTCTTTGGTGACTTATAGTAAAATTTGATGAAGATTATTTTGGTCTTTGACGTCATCCTTCTAAAATTATGCTTTGTTAGAGATTTTTGCACAGACCCACAAAAAGTACGGCTTTAACTCTAAAATTCATAAATTCCTCGCTTTCCGCCTTTATTTAGCTTACTTTGAAATGTAAACTTTAAAAACGCCGATACAGGTGTCATCTGTTTTTAGCTCTCCTTTCCTAATCTACAGGATTATTTTTGAAATTATTTCTTGTGTCGGTCCTGCCTTTCCTTACTTATTTGCCATAATTCTCATAATACTACAATCTAAACGATAAACAATTAATTCTATCATCTTGAAATTCTCAGTTTCAATCAATTTCAAAAGAATACACGCTTCCTGAAAATGCAAGTGAATCATAATCTTGTTTATACCCTTGGTCGCCTAAGAACAAACGAAACGAAATTCTAGAAATTCCAGAAATTCTATCTTGACCACAAGAAAATTCCATTCAATTTCATTGCCAATCATGGTAGCCAACATTCCTTTGGCATGTATCAGCCAACCACGTGTTGTTGAAATACAACTACCTGCTGTCCTTCACACACACATACACTCACACAACCACTTTGTTGTATATCCTTTTGACGGCTTGTTTTTTTACTAAAATATTTTTTCCCAACCTTGTGTTATTTTTAGCAACTCTTTGCCATTGTTGTGGCTTCAATCGTATTTCTGATACGGATAGTATTTCTACGTGTGCGTCATCAGCCGGGAGGACCATTTGGTATACCCCTGTTGGGCTATTTGCCATTCATAGACGAGAAAGCACCATACAAGACATTGCAGCGTTTGGCTGTGAAATATGGTCCCATCTATAAGCTGAAAATGGGCAATGTCAATGCGATTGTATTGTCGGATGCTGCTTTGGTAAGGGAATTCCTGAAACGTGAAGAATTTACAGCGCGCGCACCATTGTATGTTACTCATGGCATAATGGGTGGTTATGGTAAGTAGTCGTATTCTTTTTTTGTAAGCAAAACAAAAGATTTAAGACACAAACTTGATTTTTGACAAACTGAATAAATTAAAAAAAAATTAATAAATAATTAATAAATTATTGGATATTAGATAAATAATATTTAATATTTTGAAAGAAAAGAAAAATGAAATCATTTTTTAAACATAAAAAATTTTTTAAATAAATAAAAAAAAATATAAAAAATAAAATAAATTAAAATAAACAAATAATAAATAAATTAAACAAAATACTGAGCTTTGAAAAAGGACAATTAAAAAATTTAATCTGTCCGGTAAAATTAGCTATTAATTTAAAGAGAATTAAAGAAATGCAAAAAAAATGAAGCAAAACAAACATTTGAAGAAAAAACCTTGTGCCATCTTTAAACTATATTCAGTTAATACTATTCCTTAATAACACACAACTTAACCGACAGACATTTATAATCATCTAAAACGATATTTATTCTCTTTTCTCCTCTTCCCAACCATCTGCCCTCCTCTGCAGGTCTTATTTGCTCCGAAGGTCCTTTATGGAGAGATCAAAGACGTCACACAATTGATTGGCTCAAGGCATTGGGTATGTCGAAGAAATTTGTCGAAATGCGTAGTGGTCTGGAACAACGCATCGCTAAGGGAGTCCAGGAATGTGTACAGGTACGTGATGATAGAAAAGAAAAACAAGAAAACCAAAAAAAAAAAAAAAATGAACATCTTATAAATAAGAATGGGGTTATACAATGTTGCAGAAGACAGGCTGTGGTTCTCAAGATTTTTGTGTTTTATCTTTTGTGTTTTGGAGTTTGGTTTGCTTTTTTTTCTTCTGGCGGTGTATCCTGTCTGTCAATTCGACTGAGTCATAAAAATGAATGAATGAGGGTTAGGATTCTTGTTAATTTCTTTGGGATGTGCAAAATTCGAGAAAATAATGAGGGTGGATCGATGGAGCGAGGAAAATTATTGATAGTTGAAGGGGTGCAATCGAGTCGACAGGGTATTAGATATGAAATCTAAGACTAATTCAGAATTAACCAGTAAGGACGGGTAAAAAGTCGGGCGGGACCAACTATATTATACACTAAACCAGTATGTGTATTTAGTAGAGCTCCCGTAACATAGAAGTTTATATTGGGAATTTATGTGAAGTAGATCATACCAACTATGAACCTTATTTGAATGGGTATCATGGTTTTAGAGAAGTCACAACTATATCCAACTCTGAACGGATTTTCAACAAATTTGACGGAGGTTTTTGTATTTCTAGTACCAAACAACATTGCTGTATAGTACATGATATGACTTTGATATAAATTATGTTAAACAATATTTATTTGCTGATATTGCATATACAGTGAACAATAGCCATAAAATCGGATGAAGATGTATATCGAAGTTATATAAAAAACTGAACTGATCTCGATGAAATTTGGAAAATGTATTATCGAGCAGTATCTGATACCCGGTGTCAAATATCAATGTTTTGGAGTGCATGTTACTCATGTGAGAGACTTTAACACCAAATCGGAAGAAACAAATATATGGGAGCTTTAGCTATATCTGGACCGATTTTCACCAGAAATTGAAGTACTTGTTTCTAGTATGAATTCAGTCGGAAGTGCAAACATTTAGGTAATTTGTGCTGATATTGGTCATTTGGTGGACAATTAACCAAAAATCAGTTGAAGACATATAGGGAGCTATATCTTAATTTTGAACAGACTCTCACCAATTCCAGTACGGTTCGTCCTTGGGCCAAACAAATATTGTATGGAAAATTTCATCCCAGTCGGATAATAAATTTTGGGTTGCCCATATTCGACGGACCTTTGGGCCCTTTGGGTCCATTCCAATCGACGAGGCTTGTCCGCAGGCAACATTCTTTGCGTCAATTGAATTTTGTACGGGAACAAATGCAAATCAATGCGAATAATCCGTTGTAAAGTGGACCGAGAAATGCCCAACTGCTGAGAACGGCGTTTTTGGGATGTTCCTGGGGACCTCTCAACACTGACTCGTACGGCAGCGATATTCTCGGCCGATCGCCTTGGTCGACTTTTATATGGCTTCTTCGGATTAGAAAGAGCCTTACCAGTCGAAAATTTTTCGTATTAACGCTTAATGGTGTTCTTAGAAGGCGCACTTCTCACATTTTTTAATGTTTTAAAAGCACGTTGAGTTTTCACAATTGACTTCTTCTGTTGAATGTAAATTTTAGAGCGCTCGCATGGCGTGTATTGGTTCATGGTAAAAATCAGCTTGGACTGACGCTTCAAACGCCGTATGTTATTAAGCGATGTGACATCTCTGTCAAAAGTAATGGCGTTGCCAGATGGGTCCGTCGAATATGGGCAACCCTGTACACAAAAATACATGAACAGACGGACTGACATGGATAAGTCGACTCAGAAATTGATTCTATGAAGATCTTTAAAAGTAACTAGGGTCTATCCCGCTTTCTTCTCCATTTTACAAACAAATGCTCAAAGACATAATACCCTCACCACTATGTGGTGTAAGGTATAAAAACCTTAAGAAACGTGCTAATCGCAACGGGGGAGTAAGGTAGAAAAAAAGCGTGGTTTCGTTACGAGCCACCAAACCTCATTACTCTCCGTGGTTTTTGTCCGGGGATATTCTCCCCAAGATCTATGGCAAAATAGGCAGTTAATTTTGTAATTTTGAGAAAAATTTGTGTCCCATAAAAATCTGAGGTAGTTCTCGAGGTCTTGGTGCGTAGGAGTGTGATAAGGCTGGGTTTTGCGGAAATTTTTGCTAAAAAGTTACGAAAAGTACTAAATTGTACTATAAATTGAGTACTTTGCATGTGGACAAACAGAATGTGCAAGAATTCTAAGATTTGGAATGAGAGTCACTGATGGAGTGCGACATAGATGTACCATCTGGTTTTTGGAAATTCGAGCTTTATGATTACGAAAAGTTCTAAAATGGTACTAAACTTCTCAAATAGTACCATTTGGCATTATATGAACGGATAAAGTTTAAAATTTGAAATTTAATATGAGAATCAAGGTTGTAAATTAAGATTGATATTTCGTGGGATCAAGGGAATTTGGCGAAGGAATAGAACTGGAATCTTCAAATTTGATGCTGAAGTCTCCGATGGTATTTGAAATGCGTCCTTTATTTTTGCCAAAAATTGCGGATAGGCCGGAATCCTCAAATTTGAGATTGGGGTCTCTGTTGGTATCTGGGATAGAGATATAGAGATGATTTTGGAAATGTGTACTAAAATTGTACGAAAAATACTAAATAGTACTAAATTTGGTATTGGGTGTGGGGTTAGGGCTTGTTTCGTCAAATTTGATATTAAGGTCTCTGTAGGTATCCGGTGTAGAGATTTGGTGAATGTTTTGCAAATTCGTCCTATATTTGTACGAAAAGTACTAGATTTCTAATTTGGTGAAGGGATTGGGCTGAAATTGGATATTGAGATCGTTTTGGTATCTGGAATTGAGATATGGAGTTGGTTTTGGAAATGTGTACTGTAATTGTACAAAAAGTACATAATGTTACTAAATTTTTTATTGGGTAAAGGGATAGAGATGAAATTCTGAGATTTGTTGTGGAGAGAAAAATATAGTTTTGAATAAAAAAATTGGATGGGAATGAAAATAGAGAATTATTTTGGTTAATCGGTTGAAGGTTTAAAAAACATACATTTATGAGATATCAGGAACAACAAAGTTATAGGGCATTTGGAGTTGATTTTGTTATGTTGATACGTCTGTCAGGCATTCGACTTGGTTCAAATTTTTCCATCATAATTCGTTTTTTAAGATTTCGAAGATTTGTGATATAGGTTGATTTCTTTTAGCATTTTTTATAAGAAAAGTTAAAAATGTTGAGAAATTTCTATGTCTGATAAAAAGCTAAGTGCATACCTGAAGTTGTCGGGATTTCATGGTAAAAATTATAAAAAGTTTAGCTCTGTGAAAAATATATTTCATTGTTCTTAGTACCTTAGCTAGACTAACGACTATATGAACGTCATTCGCAAAAAATCCTATTGATATATTAGAATCTATTAGGTACTTTCTTTGTTATTTCAGTTTTATTCTGTTTTTAAACCTTTCCCCCATTTACTTCCCCTTATGGCATAATTTTGTTCGCTAGCATTTCCTTTGAATTCAACAACTTCACCTTTAATTCCCAAAAATTCATATAATACCGCTAAAGTGATATGTTTTTTTTTTCTTTTCAAACCTCTCTACGTCCCATCGTAATTCATTTACTGAAATTGGCTGTCGGGCATAGATAACTAAGTTCAAGATGATGATGATGATCATTACGATGATGATGATATAATGATGCAAACAACCACGATCATCAGCATTGAAATGGAATTACGTATAAATATTTATGTGTACGAATGTACGTTTGTTGGTTCCTCCAATAACATTATATTGGCATTTGTTAAGTGAAGGTTAACTTTCCGGTATAACAGTCCACATACGTCTGATGTCTGTCTGTCTGCTCGTCTGTCCGTTTGTCTGCATGGTCTGGCTGTCGAAATGCAGCTTGCCTCCTGCTTTGCCAATCGTTTAGCCGCCAGATAGCCAGCCAGGTTGATTCATTGATCTTTTTTATTGTTTGATGGTCGGAATGACTGTCGTTCGGTCGGTCTGTCGGTCTATCCATCAGACACAAGGCATCTGACGTTGTTTATTTGACTGACTCTTTTTAACTTTCCATTTTATTTTCGCTTTTACTGAGACAAAAAAAAAAAAAAAAAAAAAACTTTGAACTGCGAAAAACACATGGAATGTATTCCGGAAAAGGGTGACATCAAACTGGAATGATGACGTTTGATTTATAGCCAGATTTTTGGGCACTTCGGCGATTTTTTAAACATTTTTCAAAGAATTATCTGGAATTTGAGGGCAGTTACGGTTTACTTACCACCAAAGACGTCAATATAGATCCAAATTTTGGTATATTTTTCATATAACGGGATTACCATATATTCGGTATTCTGGTGGCTTCCCCATCTTTTACAACGGAATTTTTTGAAAGTTTCTAGTGGGTGTCTAACTGTCTTATAAAAATTTTTTGGTATATGTCGTCATTTTGTCATTATATATTTGATGATGGATGATATCAAAAGTTATGTCCGCCGAAGTTATTCCACTTTGTGTTGGGGTATTATAAGTTAGATTGGGCCAAAAATTATGTAACACCTCGAAATATTGGTCTCCCACATAGGAACCTATATATGGATCTTCCTATCTCGCCGAGCAGAGTCGATATAACAGTGTGTCTCGCGGGTCCATTTTAACTTGTAGTCAAGCTACAGGTCGCAATTATGGTCCGAACCTCTCGATATTCAAAATAGAGGTGGGATTAAGGTTAGAATAGAACCATATTTTTTTTTTTTGATCGCAAAATATTAGTTAAAATGGGCTTCCAAACATATTGTAGTTTTGTAGGGTACCACATGGTCGGCCCCGCACCTCCTTTGCTTACTTGTTTACTGTTATTATTATCATTATCAATTTTGGTGCAAAGTTTGCACCTGGATTTTCTTGGATAAGTAGTCATTTATGTCTTTAAATAGTGTTTTCTGGTCCTAAGTTCTTGTTTTTGGCGACGATTCAAGTCTCGATGAGGAAAACTTTCCAAACTTCTTAAAGAGATCTTTCTAGCATATATGAAAGGATTTTTCTGGTATATATCACTTGGTACATCACATCCAAATACTTCCACTAACACAAGATCTGATGCGGAGGTGGAACGACTTCTTCTGGCACCTCCCCACGAAGAGCTAATTATAACCTCAGCCCTATAACTGAAGAAGGTTTATATCATTTGATACGGCCAAAACGTGGCTCATGGAAATAACGGTTTAAGGCCCCAGGTCTCTTTGAGCCAAATGCGTTTCAGGACATTTGGAGTCGATCTAGCAATGTCCGTTAGTCCGTCCGCTTATCTGTGTGGCTGGTGAGCATATAAACTTTTGAAGGGAGTACCCAGTTAGACACCCATTAAAAAAAAAACTTATTGAGTTGGGAGATCAGAGACATCGGACCACTTCCTCAGGTACCACTTCCACAAAAGGTCGAAATTTTCAAGGACAATATTTGACTGCACATTTATAGCAAGGATCATTCAATTTTGCTCCAACTTTGCAAATCCTAATATTTTCGTTAGTGCTATGTCAGGTGCGAAAATTGACAATATCGGCCCACTCCATTATGGACCTCCCCTTCATAGGGTAAAATTTTCGAATAATTATAACTCTTATAAAATGTGAAATAAGCACCAACTTCTCTTAAAATTTCACACATGCAATCATTTTCGATGGGAAGATGGGATGGGTGGGAAGATGGGATATATCGGAGTACTATCTCTGATACCTCCCCCACAACGGGCCAAACATTTGAATGAGTATAGAACTCATAAAACATAAATGGGTTTTCAAACTCGCCACATCTCAATATTTCTATCAACACAAAACCAGTTGTGAAGATGGAATATGTCGGACCACTTCTTCTGGTACCTCTCCCACGAAGGGTCAACATTTTGAATAATTACATATGTCATGAAGGGTGATTCTCTTCAAATTCCACACGACCCAATATTTCTACAAACACAAGATCTTTTATAAAGATGGCACGAATTATGGCCTTTAAACGGCCAATGAAACCGTCACACGCTGCCCGAATGTTGCTCTGCGGTTTTTGGCCCATTCCCGGCGAAGCGCTTGCTTGATGTGATCGACACTTTGGTATTTTTTAATGCCAACCATGCTTTCCAAAATACTCCAGACATAATAGTCCAACGGCTTGGTATCCGGAGATTTTGGTGGCCATTGTGCGCTGGAAATGAAGCGAGGAACCTCATTTTGTAACCATTATTGCTGAGTGCCATGGTACTGAGTCCTGTTGGAATGTCCAAGGTCCGCTGCCAAAATGTCTTCGTGCCCAAGGCTTTAATACACCCTCCAGAATATTTTCGTGATAATATTCGGCATTTATTCTGATGCCACAGTCGATTAATACGAACGGCCATCACCATGGCCGGCGCTTGAGTTCTAGTGGCCAACCGAAGGTGCACATTTCAGCTTTGGCAAGTTTGTTTGTAAACTGCTGGACAACGAATGTTTTCTCATCGGAGAAAATCAAATTCGGCAGTTCACCACTTTCGGCCAAGCGAAGCAACTCTTTACCTCTTTTGAGTCTATTTACTTTCTGTTGCGATGTAAGTTCTTGCATTTTTGGGAATTTCAATGGCTTAACCCCGATCTCATTTTTCAATATTGACCGAATGGAATATTGCGATATGTTCAGCTCAAGAGCCATTTTTCGGCCACTGCGACGCGGGTTTCGATCAATTCGCTTCTTTACTTTTCGAACCATTTCTGCTGATGTTGCTTTTTCCTCCGTCCACTTCCTTGACGTCGGGCTACCAATATCATGATAACGAGCGATGATACGAGACACAAAAGATTTATTCACATTTAAATGCTGGAGTGCTCTAACGATGGCCACTTATGATTTCCCAGCCAAATATAAAGAAATCACACTTTCGCACTTGAATTCCATCACGAATAACATTTTTTCTGGAAAATTCTCACCAAAATGCTTTTGTTCGCTTGTAAGCAATATAATGAGCTGACAGTGGAATCATTTTAACAGCTGTCGGACGAGTGGTTTACAAATGACAGCAATTTAAAGTTGGTTGCATTTTTTTATCTTGCACTGTAGAGCATATCGGTCCATCCTGCTACTTCCCCCACAAAGAGTCAAAGATCTCCAAATATTTCGCCGATTTTTTTATGTTCTCACAATTTTAATTTTAGGTTTAGCGTGAATTATTCATCCTGGGACTAGAGTAATATCTAGGACCTATCTTTATGGTGTACACAAAAAATACGGTCAAATACTAAGGGTATATATCTGTGGGCAAAGCGACTGATACCTGTTAATTTGTTAAGGCCTCCAAAAGCATTTTTGGTGGGCCCATCAACAAGCCATTCTTGATCTTCTATGATTTCTATTAGAATGTCCTTAAAATCTTCTTTAATTATAGGCCATGAAAAATTACTAATCGAACCATAAAATTAATATTTTGGAATGTCGTTATAGTCTCCTTTTTTTAAGAAGACCATGGAACTTCATAGACGAAAACCATAAACTAGTATATGGAGTCCCTTATGGTCTCTACAGGAACCCATTTCTGGACTTGGAAACGAAGATCTTTGAAATCCCATATAAAAATTCTAACAGACTTCCTAAAATAGACCTTTATGATTCTCCACAGAATTTCTTTATTCATAGCCTTTTTGGAATTGGAAAAAATCCTATGCGATCCTCAAAACAATTGTCAAACTTTTATTCTAGCACTTAGTACATTTTCCATAACAATGGTTCCCAATTCTCTCCCTGTTTCCAGAAATGCATTTATGTTATTTTTCTTTTCCTTTTTTTTGGTTCTTTATTGCAGTGTCTTCAACAGGATTCTAAGAACTTATCAATGGCTGTGAATCCTCTGCCAGCACTTCAGCACACTCTGGGCAACATAATGAATGACTTGGTGTTTGGCATCACATATGCACGCGATGATGTCACTTGGCGTTATTTGCAGGAATTGCAGGAAACGGGCGTTAAACTAATCGGTGTTTCGGGGGTAGTCAATTTTCTGCCATTCTTGAGGTGAGTCAGCAGTCGTGGCAACTGTAAAATAAGCGAAAGTGATGGATGCATTGCGGCCAGCAGGTAGGTAGTAGGTAGAATGGATATACAAAACAATATTTCACCTCAAGAAGAACAGGGAAAAGAAAAATATTGGCTAACTATAGCTGCTGGCTGCAATGCATATCCAAATACATAAATATTTCTTAAAAAGAAAAGTAAAAGAGTCAAAGATGTAACAAAAATGTTTCTATTGCCATTATGTGTGATTTCCAGATTTTTACCCTCGAATCGTCGTAATATTAAATTCCTCTTGGACGGCAAAGCGAAAACCCATCAAATCTATGATGACATTGTACGAAAATGTGAAGAAAAGATGCAAAAACGAAAATTCCAACCAACGAAGGAATCGCTGAAGAACACATGTATTTTGGAATTCTTCTTGGAACAAAGAGAAGAATTGAAAAATCATGTTGACCTCTATCATCGTTCCAAATACGATGAATATTTTTGCCCCGAACAGTTGCGCCATCTATTGGCTGATCTATTTGGGGCTGGAGTTGATACCACTTTGTCTACCTTGAGATGGTTTATTTTGTACATGGCCAAGGAGCAGGAGATTCAAAAGGAACTGAGAGAGGTAAGTTTATGGATTTGAACCTATGACATAAATTTGAGGGCATTTAATACTCAAAATAACTCTGCGCAACAAAAAATAACCACAGGGAAAAGTTTAGATCGAATAGCAACCTAAATAGAGGCAAGTTCTACCAAGTCCACCTTTTGGTCGTTATCGGATTAAGATTCCTCGGGATCCGTGCATTTTATGTGTATTTAAAGCCTCATGCCAATCAATAAAGTGGTCTTTTTGGTCCTTTTTTCAAATTGTGGTAAAAACTTCCTTAATGAAAATTTTACTTTTGTGTGGGAGGTACCAGAAGGGTTGGTTCGATATATCACATATTCACATCAAATCTTGTGTTGGAAGAAATATTTTGATGTGTGGAATTTGGAATGAATCCAATGCTTATTTCGCACTTCATGAGTGTTTTGCTGTTCAAAATGTTGAACACTTCCTTGGGGTTGTGCCACAAGAAATTTACGGATATACCTCACCCTCACAGCAGATCCTGTCTTAGAAGAAATAGTGGGATGTGTGAGAGTTGAAGAGGATCAAATGCTTATTTCTCGTTTCATGAGAGATATTATTATTCCAATTGTTGACCCGTTGATGGGAGGTACCAGAAGGAGTGGTCTGATATATTTTATTTTCACACCTCTTCTTTTGTTGATAGTAATATTGGCACCTGCCGAGTTTAAAAGGAATCAAATGCTCATTTCGCATTATATGAGCTTTATTAGTATATATAAATCTTCCTATCTCGCCGAGCTGAGTCGATCTAGCTATGTATGTCCGTCCGTCCGTCTGTCCATGTTAATTTGTAATCACTCTACAGGTCGCAATTATGACCCGATCTTCACGAAATTTGGTATGGAGGTGGGGTTAGGATCAGAATAGAACCCTATTTCTTTTGGTGATGATGATGATCACATAATATTTAGGGGTCGAAATGGACCAAAAAACTGAAAAAAATCCTGATTTTGCAGTTGCTCTACAGGTCGCAATTATGGACCAATCGACGCTGAAATTAGCATGGGGCTAGAGCTTAGGGCTGGGTAGAAGCCTTCCAATTTTGATGGCCATCGGGTAATATTTAGTGGGTGAAATAGACTATAACATTTATGTTAAATAAAAGTCAAATTTCCATTAAACCGCGAATATTTTTAGTTCCGGCGAAATCATAAATAGATGAACAGGTCAATTCTGACCGTTACGTACATGCCGATAGTAAATATATCGGATATATATAGCGAAATATATACAATGTGTACATACAAAGGAAAGGAATGTTAGATGGAATGCTTATATTTCAAGAATGACTGGACCGATTTTGACAAATTTTGTCAATTCAGAATGTCCTCTTGACATAAAAGTATAAAATCTAAAAAAATCGCATAAAAATAAGTCAAAAATGATCTTAATATAGATTTTTTGTATTTTGTGACATTTTTTTATTTTTTCATATTTTTTATCGCATGCGATTTTTTCAATTTGACTTATAATATTAAGGTGTACATTTTGTAATATTTTTCCACCTTACAACACAGGTTTGGGATATTATATACAGATTGCAATTATCGTCCGATCCTCACGAAAAAGGTAGGGTTGGGCTCAGAAGGACTTGGCCTATTGTCTTTAAAGATGTCCGCAATATATTTAGGGGTTGAAATGGACCAACAACTGAAAATTTTCCTGATTTTGCAGCCGTTATAAAGGTCATAAATAGAAACCAAAGGACACGAAATTTCGCATGAAGTTATAGTTTAGGACAGCGGGTAGAATGGACCACTACTTTTGTCTGAAAAATACCAACATTACTTACAGGCGATAGCCGAAACACACAAAATGCGAACTTCTGCCTTTTTTGCTGATTTCGTTGACGAATATAGCCAAATATCATAGACAAGAAGTTCGTATAGAAGAGTCTAAATTTGGAGATACAGAGGGGTCTCTTGCTTTTGGAGATGATCGCAAAATACGACAGAGTGCGTAAATATTGGGCAAATGTCCCTGGTCAAAATGCTAAGGGTAATATCTGGGCAGTGCTCCGTCACATAATTTCAAAAGCGAAATCTTCCGAAATGGATTTGAACATAAGGGGACTTCTAATCTATTGTAGTGTTGTAGGGTATCACATGGTCGGCCCCGCACGACTATAGCCTTTGCTTACTTGTTTTTGATCTCTTGCTTTTACTTAATATGTGGAATTTTGGTATATATTCAAAATGTTTCAAATCGATATTCAAATTATGGCGCCCAATGTTGACGATTTTTTTGTTTTTGGTGTAAATTTTGCCTAGCCTATTATACCCTCCACCATTCTATGGAGGGTGTATTACCTTTGTCTTTCCGTTTGTTACTCCTCGCAATATTCAGAATAAACCTACAAAGTATATATATTCTGGATCAGCGTAAAATTCAAAGAAGATCAATGTCCGTCTGTCTGTCTGTAGTAAAAACGCTATTTTTCGAACGAATTAAGATAGAAGGCTTACATTTTAAACACATGCATAGTTTACTAGTAGGCAGGTTAAGTTCGTAAATGTGTCATGTCATCCACGTTTTCGTATAGCACCTATATAACGGTACCTCCCGATATTCGGTATTTTCATGATATTAGCGACATTATTTACCCAGTTTGTGGCGCCCAACATAGAATTGTGGTTTTAGACGGTTCTCCGTATTTTAAATTCGTTATTTTTGTACACAAATCATTCGTCAAGAAATCGTTCCATATCAAATTTTCCCAACTATGGAGCACAACGTTGACGACTTTTTTAATTTTTTTCATCTTATTTTTTAATAAAAGTGTAAAATTTTGGTAAATTTTCAATATTTTTCATTTTATTGCTATATTCTGGAGAGTCTGAAAACTATTTCTTTTTGATGAGAGTAAAAATAAATTAAATGAGTAAAAGTTATCATTTAAATGCATATTCTCTCGTTCGCATCCCATGCATTAAAATTTATTTATTCATTCACTTATTTCAATATCCTTTTCAATATAACAAAAAATCTCTCCAATGTATTTTATTTCCACAGAAGTGATTCAGAATTATAAAAAAATTAGAACAGAACATAAAAAATTTAGGTCCATGTTTTCCTATAGCGCACATATAACGATACCCACCGATACTCGGTATGTTGATAATCCTAGGTACACGAAATTGTTACAAAGTTTGGTATTTAAAAAGATTTGGTAGGTGACAATCCTTGAAATATAAAATTTCCTATAGAGGTTCCCGCTGTGGTATGGCCCCCATACAACGGCCTCACCCACTTTATGGTTTTTTGAAAAGTTTAACAGCATTATCCGAACGGTCTTACTGGTAGTTGTAGTTTAATGTGGAAATGTGTGAATTCAGATACTTTTATATAAAAATGTTTTCTTTACCCAAAGATCCGGCCGAACTTAATGTTTTTTACGTGTTATTTCTTAGTTCTACTTTCACATTCTACTGCGATTTTTACCGGAATTATTTATTGTTATTGTTCATTTCTCATTCTTTAATTGTTTTTTATTTATTTGTTTCTTTTCAGCATTTACAAAAACTACCCAAAGACAATATTACCCTAAGCGATTTAGAAGAAATTGACTATTTACGAGCTTGCATATCCGAAGTGCAACGCATACGATCGGTGGTGCCTCTGGGCATTCCTCACGGCACAAAATGGAATGTGAATGTCAATGGCCATGGCATACCCAAAGATTCCATGGTGCTGCCGCTACAATGGGCAATACATATGGATCCAAAGGTGTGGCCCGAACCCGAAACGTTCAATCCTCAACGGTTTCTCAACGACGAGGGTGGCTATCAAGCATCTATCAATTTTATTCCCTTCCAAACCGGAAAGCGCATGTGTCTTGGTGAAGATTTGGCACGAATGATGTTGCTCTTATATAGCGGTTTTCTGGTTAGAAATTTCGAATTCCATTTGAGTACAGATGATGCAGAACGCGTTGATGACATTTTCGATGGTGAATGTGGCATAACATTGACACCCAAAGAATATCGTGTGACATTGAAGGCAATTAAATAAAAATGCAATATTTGTTTTTGTTTTTAATTTTAGGTATTTTTTCGTTTCAAAAAAACATATGTATTTAGATATATTTTTAGAAAATTATTATTTTTTTTTTTAGATTTTTTATGGTTTTTTTTTGTATTTTCTTAAGACAATTTTTATAGAACTTAATTGGTAAAAATAAAAAAAAAAATAAAATAAAAAAAAATAATTAATTACTATTTAACAATCATAAAAAACAACATAGACTTATAACTTATTGTGATCGGAGGCGGGAGGGGCTGGGGTATATTTTATATAAAAATATATATTTACAAAAGATATTTAAGGGGTTGTGGGGGGAGGTCTGGGGCGTGGGATAGTAATGTTGCTAGTAAATATTTCCATATGATTGAATGGTGGCACTATGAATCTTATAGATTTATATGTGTGTGTGAGAGTTGGTTTATATACAATTTATTCGTTTTATTTTTTGTGTTTTTGTTTTTTTTTTTAATTTTTCGTAGGGTCCTATGAGAGCTTACAAAACTAAATAATATGCATTTTCATGATATTTGTGTACAATATAGGAACAAAGAGAAAATTTCCAAGAGAGCCAGAGTTTGATGACCACTTTAAGATTTTTTTTGTTAATGGGAGAAATAGAGAGAGCTTTGAGCTTTATCACTTTACTGCTGTTCTAAAATAAAATTAATTATAAAACTTGACTTAAAGCCTCACTGGTTTCAAAACTTAAAGACTCCCAGAATGCTCAGCTTGCTTTGAGAGGGGGAGAGAGAGAGAAACAAATTAAATAACGAAATATTTCGTTACTCTCTCTCTCTCTATTTTCCACTGAGCTTTCTATTTTTCTTTTGTGGCCTTGGGTTCATTCGTTAGCTGCCATTCTCTGTTGCTCTCCTTGCAAACTTTCTCTTTGCCTCGATGTGAGGGGGTGGGGGAAGATGTTATCTAAGCTAAACCACAGATTTTTGTTTTTAATTCGCGTTTTTGTTTGTTTTATAAATATTTGTTTGTTGTTGTTGTTGTTGACTTATAGCTATTTTGTTTGTTTGTTGTTGTAAATCTATAATATAAAATACATGTTGTTGTTTATTGAACACAGCTTCTAGGGGGTAAAAGAATAGAATTTGTTCTTTTTTTTGTTTTGTTTTGCGATTTCTCTTTTGTTCTGATTTCTCTTTCGGTGTTGTTTTTTTTTTTTCTCTAACAAATTGAACTATTTTGTTGTTGTTGTTGCTTTTGTTTTCATATGCGCTGAAGGCTAATCATATATCAATTAGCGTTTTTCACGAATTACGACGTATACTTAATTTCTTTGGAAATTCTTCTTTTTTCTAACATGTAGAGAACAATTTTCTTGAGAGATTTTTGAATAATGGGGGAGAGAGAGATTGGTTGAGAGTCTTTGTGTTGCTGCTCACACTCATTTTCTTTCATTAAAGACGTTTGAAAGAAAGATTTTCTTTACGAATTCTTAAAAAAACAAAACGTCATTCAGGAACTTAACCGTGCTCTGCATTTGAATCCTTGCTTCCTCTCACTTGAGGGTCACACGAACTTTCTCGGCAGTTTGTTGGACTCTCTCTCTCTTTGTCTGTTGAACATTCTCTCTCCCTTCAATTTTACGCTCCCTCTCAAGATGAAAGCTCTTAAAAGAATGATTTTCCTCTCACATAATGATTACACGAACAATTCCATTGTTCTCCATTGTTTTTTTTTCGGGTTGTCGCACCTCGCCATCTAATTTGAGCCAACATTACGCATATGATGTGGATCCACTGTTGTTGTGTTCAATTGCAACGGTCTGGGTGTCAGACACACTTTGAAAGCTTCCGGTGTGATGGTGGCTCCCACATTACCCTTTAAACTTGGCAATGGCTGTCCCTCGGGCAGTGTAATATTGAAGGAATGCATAAACGATGCAAAGAAAAGGAACAATTCCATGCGTGCCAATACATCACCCAAACACATACGACGTCCCACACCGAATGGAATAAAGTACTCGGGTTTGTGTACTTTACCTTCGGAATCGAGGAAACGACGGGGATTGAATTCTTCGGGTTTCTCCCACAAATTGGGGTCCATGTGCACACTGTTGATCAGGGGAATGACATGGGAACCGGCGGGGATTTTGTAACCATTCACTTCGACATCTCTGTAAGGAGAAGAAGCAGAAGAAGAGGGAAAAATTAGTAAAAGTGAATAATATAAATAAATAAATAAAAAGAAATATTCTACAATTTTGCCTCTCACGTTGTTGTGTTCTCTGGTGAGTTTTGGGAGAAGAAAGAAAGAGAGAGAGTTGCCATTAATTCCTCTGGGAATTTTTGTAATCGTTAAATTTTAAGTTTTTTTAACTGTGGCGCCCAACATGAATTTATGATTTTTTAATTGCTATCCTTACTTTAAATTCTTTAAATTTTTCTGTACGCAAATTCTCAGGAAATTGTTGTAAATCAATTTTTCCTAATTATGCCGTTCAATTAATTGCCCTTAATTCCCCTAGGGATTTTTGTAATCATGAAATTTTAAGAATTTTCAATTGTGGCGCTTATTTTAAATGCGTAAATTTTTGACCGCAAATTATTCCTATAGGATTCCCCCAGGGATTTTTAATAGTAAAGCTAAGTTTTTAGAAGGTTTTACTTTCTTTTTTAATTGTTAATTTTTAGTACGCAAATCATTGCTCTAGGATTCCCCTAGGAATTTTTATAATCATGAAATGTTAACAATTTTTGTTTTTTTTATTATGGAGCCCAATGTGAAGCTAAGTTATGTTGGAGTTATGTTGTTTTAGAGGATCCTCTTTACTGTTAATTCGTTAATTTGTGTACGCATTCATCAAGAAAATCGTTGTAATTCAAATTTCCCTAATTATGGCGCCCAAGCTTTTTTTTGAGTTTGATGTACATTTTTTGTGTGTCTGCTGTTTTTAATTAAAATGTGGAATTTTGATGTATTTTCAAGAAGTAATTTAATATTTCAAAAATTTGAGATAAAATATTATATTCAGAATGGCGCCCAACGTTCATCAGTTGGTTATATTTCTCTGCATTAAATTAATTTTAGATTATACATGGAATACCTAAAACTGAGAATTTTCATGGAAAGTTAATAATTTTCTCCTCATTAAAAGACTATCCGTAGGATAAAAAATTCTGGAGGGTCTAAAAATGTCTGCGTTTTTTTATTTATTTGTTCGTTTTTTATTTATTTTTTTTTTTTTTGCAGAAAAAATTTATCATTTATAGTCATCTTCTTTTTCTAATTCTTTTTCACATTCCATGAATTAAAATAAATTTATCCTTTCATTCATTTTCAATATCCATTCCCCAGCGAGATTCTATTTTTATTTTTCCTCTCCCATATAAAAATCTCTTCTTTATATTTTATTTCCTCTGAAGTGATTGAGAATTATTGTTAATGAAATTTGACGCACATAAATCACTGTTTGACACAGTTTCTCTAATATTGTTTATCTAACAAAGTGTTTGAGTTCAATGAACTTTCCACACACTCACACACACACTAAGAGAGACAGACACACCAAATAATAACAATTGAGGCAATTTAGAAGACAGCACTTTGAGAAAATACCAATTACAACAACTACAACAATTGTTACAAAAAAGCCGGCCGGTATATCGTGATATTGCACACAAGTTGCATTACCAGCCAGCCAGCCATTGAGCCAAACAAACAATATTGGCATTATTGTTTTTTTTTTTGTATCTTTAACAAGTGCAGATTGGAAAATTACAACAAGAAACCACAAACAATAAGCTCACGTGTTACAAGCCATAGGGGTGGCCAAGCGGATTGCGGCGGGCTGGTGTTTGTACAACAAAAACAAAGAGATCTCAAGTAAGTAAATTTTTCCATTTTTACTACAAAACGGCTACTACTTGGCAAAACAATTGCACTTCATTGCCTACAAATCAAGTGCAATTTGCAACAACAATAAAAATAATAAAAGAAAAAAGAAGGCGAACAGTGGCTCTACTATCGCTACTTTGCTAGCTCTGGGGGTTGTCTGTCCGCCACTATACTTGGCAAACGAGTGGCGTGTGTGTGTGTGAGTGTGAAAAAAATATTGGCTCTGTAATCTTTTGTGAACCACCAGCAGCATGGCTCGCTGGCTGGCTGGCGGACTGACTATGAGATGGCGAGCTTTAAAGGAAAGAAAAAACAACAGAAACAACACGCGTTTTTTTTAATGGCAGAGCTTACAAAAGTGGGACAAATTACGACGCATCTTGCGCCATGTGCTATTGAATGCATGCTTGAGTGACTGGACAAAGTGTATTGAATTGAAACGAAAGCAATGAAACAAGAAAAAAAAATCGCCAAGTTTTTTTCTTCTCTTCTTACGTATGTTGAGCTCAGATCAAACACAGAACGGACGAAGAAAAAACGCATTTTTGTTCGTCATCTGCAGCCAACCTCCCAACCTCACCACCACCTGCCTCCATTTTCATTTCCATTGAAGAAAAAAAAAATGGAAAATATTACAATGAAATTCTTGATTGAAAATCCAATAACAATTGATAAAGTGTTTACAAGCTTAGCTAACTCAATTTGCCAAGCATCCCCCATACCATCCAATCAATGGCTAACCACAGCTGAAAGTTTAATGAACTGCACTGCACAACGACATCGAACACAAACAAAGTGAAGGCAATCTGGCCAGAGATTAGAATGCTAGAACTAAAACAAAGCTTGGGTGCTTTTTTTTCAAATTACCTTGTGGGTGAGTGTGTGGTGGCCAATGGTACAATGCTGGAACGACGCATTGACTCCAAGATGGTACTTTCTGTGATGGGTAAATACTGGAGATCTTCAATGGAGGGCAGGCGGTGACGGCCCACAACTTGATCCAGTTCATCTTGGACACGTTTCATGGCCTCAGGATTGCGCAGCATAAACACATTGATCCACAGCAGGGTGGTCTTAATGGTTTCCATGCCGGCTGAGAATAAATCGATAATGACCTGGACAATTTGTTCCTCTGCAAGGCAAAGAAATAAACAAAAATTAAAATTTTTTCCAAAATTTATTTTCTTTCCCTCAAAACTCACCATGATTCTTGCCCTCAAACAAATCCTGATCGCGACCCTCCAATTTGGCCTTCTCGATTTCGGCCAAATAGAAATCAACCAAATCCCTGATATTGGTGGGATCATACGTTTTCTTGTGCTCATCAATGACATCCTGATAGAATCGCTGCATTTCTTCACGATTTTTGGCTATCTTATTTTTGGCCGTCAAAATGCTGGGGAAATACTGGACCGTGGGTATATAATCGACGGTATGAATTTCACCAAACAAACGCATACCCTCTTCAATGAGGAAATTAAAACGTCTAAATTTCGGATCATCAATGCTAAAGCGTACCGACATCAGAATACTGCAAATCACATTGCTAACGGCAACGGAAATGGCTGGTGCCATGTCCATGGGTTGGCCATCGGAAATGCGTAAATTGTGCATATATTCGTGGACTTCAATCTGGGAGGAAAAGAGAAGGCCGAGATAAGTTTTTATTCATTGAAATTAGGGATTTGAGTAAATCATTTTCCCCCTAATTAATATTTCTTAACTCACCATAATACGTTTCTCCATGATATGCTTGCCATTGCCCATATAAGTCATGCCAAATTGACGCAATTTCTCGTGCAAGAAACGTCTTTGATCCTTCCACAATTTACCGGTACTGTTGACAATGCCTGGAAAGAAAAAACAGCAAAGGATGCAAGAGGTTAGTTGGGTTGAAAAAAAATATTTAAAAAAATGAAGAAGAAATTTATAACAATCTGACTTTGAGCTCAGATAAAAATAATTGAACAATTATTAAAATTAAATTAAAAGAAAAAAGTTTACAAATGTACTAAAAAATCAAAATATATTCTTGAAGCTTGCGCTTGCGGTAAAACTTGGATATAAGCTATGGATGAGGTTGAGATTTGAACCTTTGAACAGGTTAGCAGAAAAATGTGCACCCACAAAAGAAACAATTATTTCTCAGAAGACAAACCTTTGGGAATTAATGTGGCGCCCAAAGTTTTAAATAAATAATGTAATATGTTTTTTTGTTTTTTTTTTTTTGTGTAGGATCTGTCAGAAAATTAGCTATATCGAAATTCCCATCAAGATTACTTAATGGCGCCCAACATATATTTCAAAAATTTCGACCATTTCAGATCAAAATCAGTATCAACGTTATGAAGTGATTTTTTATTAAATAAATTATGTGATTTCTTATTATAACCGAATAGATGCCCCAGAAAATAAATATGGGTTCAGGGTATTCTGTCAGAAAATGAGCTACTTCGAAATTCCCATTGAAATTGGTTTTTGGCGCCGTTTTTAGATCAAAGGTTTTAAAGTCCGAAAACTGTTCTCAGTTTAATTTTGAGAGACTTTTCTAAAAATCGTCCAAATCGAAATTTTCCTTAAGATCCACATTCAGATAAAAATCACTAACAGCGATTTTTAAGGTTGAAAACTGTTCTCAATATTGTTCTGAGAAACTTTCCTAAAAATAATCTACACTGAAATGTTCATTAGGATGTTTATTATTTTTGGTTGGAAATATGCGAGTGTTGGAGATTAATTTATAAATGGCGCCCAACGGTTTTTTATGTTTCTATTTTTTTTTTTTGGAAGTGGAAGATGTGGGAAATTATTCTATGGAGTTATATCAATTTCTAATTATTTTTTAATTTATTTTTTTGTTGGCTAGAAACATTTGATTTTTTAAGTTAATTCAAAAATGGCGCCCAACGGTTTTATGTTTTTAATTTATTAATTTTTTCATTATAATTGTTTCATTTATAATTTTTTCATTTATAATTTTTTCATTTATAATTTTTTATTTTGAATGAAATATTTGGGAGGAATATACATTTTTATTTTTTTTTTTTTTGGAGGAATATACATTTTTATTTTTATTTATTTTATTTATTTATTTATTTATTTTTTTTTTTAGGAACATCCGAGTTTTGTAGTTTAATTAAAAAATTGCGCCCAACGGTTTTCGTTTTTTTATTTTTTCTTAAAAATTAAATATTTTGGAAGTTGTATTAAGGAGTTATATAATTTTTATTTTTTTATTTTATTTTCCTTTTTTTGTGAGAAACGTGTGAGTTTTGGAGATTAATTAAAAAATGGCGCCCAACGGTTTTTATGTTTTTTAATTTTTTGATTAGCAAAGATTTGGTAAATTAATCCAAGGGTTTATAACTTAAAATATTGAGATTATTTCTTAAATTTTCATTTTTATTTTTCGCATTTTTAGGCCAAATTATCACCCGATCCCATTTTTTCTTGAAACCCAGGATGGCGCCCAACGTACACGTATATGGTTTAATGTTTTAAATATATGCCTATGACTGAAATGCTTTGTAACTTTTCAAGTATATTTCTATGACTCTGATGCTTTTCATAAATTCTTGTGGGAAAAAGACATTTTAATCCGAATTTTGAACCCTAATGTCAAAATGGCGCCCAACGTATTTTGCTAACCTAATTCTCCTGGAGACATTACCCAAATCTATGATCTTAAAGCTACTCTGTTGTCCGTTCTCTATAAAAGATAGTCGTCGTGTTTTTTCCCTTTCCTCTTTCGAATCTGAAGTTTTTGTTTGTCTGCCCTTCTCCCCCCTTCCCCATTGCAGTTTCAAAAATAAGCAGCTGTAAAATTAATGATTTTTTAAAAAATCACGTTTTACCACGGCTTTCAGCATTGCATATTCTGTCATAAATTTCCTGTCAACAACAAATTGCAGCTGTTACAATAATTTTAATTGGTTTTGTGTTTTGTACATCATTAAAATGCAGTAATTTACAAAAATTTTTTGGTTGAACTTGTTTTTTGTGTTTCGGGGAGATTAAAAAAAGAGAAACAAATACAAAGCAATTAAAATGATTTTTTTAAAAATTGGAATTCTCAAATTGAGAATTTCCGATTTTTGGCAGTTTTTCCTAACAATTTTTTATCACCAGTTTCCCCTTTTTCCTTTGTAGCCAATTTCCACTGTATTTTAAAGTAAATTTTATATAAATTGTTTGCATCATCTTCAAAACTTTGCCATGACCATCATTATCATTGGTATTATTGTGTTTTTTTTTTGGTTTTTGGTTGGTATCAAGCTTTACTATCACCAGCAGCATCAGCATTGTTTAACTTCAACTTCCAGTCTGTCGGTCGGGCAGTAGTCATTCAACATTGTCTTTGTACAACAATTTTTTTTCTTCAACAAAATGATCGGTGGTGTTGTTACTTTAATTGTTTGCAATTTCAAAGTAGGTTAATTCCACCTTCATATAACAGCAAGAAACAACAACAACAACCACAACAAAATAAATCGAAACAAAAAATGAAAGGAAACAAAAAAAGAAGCCCGACTTTGTCTTTGCTGAGCGTTAAGTTAATGTTGTTGATGGCGCTGGTGATTTTGGCCTTTATCAGTAGTCGTTGTTTTTTTTTTTTTTTTTTTTTTTTTTGTCTTCTGTTTTCATTATTATTTTGTTTTTACCTTTTTGTTTGAGAAAATTGCATAAAAATGTAAGTCATTTACAGAGGAATTTCTTTTGTTTTGCTTTTGCAATGGAAACTCTCCAAAACGGCAGAAAAGAAAAAAAAGGAAAAAAGTGATGGAATTTTTTTCATGTTTTCTTACGCACTATGGCCTACCTCAATCGCATGGTGTCCGAAAGAAAGCAATTCTTGCAAAACGAAAATCTTGCAATAAAATAACATTACCGGGAGAAGTAAAAGTCAAATATCATATAGAGAAAGGTGGAAGTTAAAGGTAGGAAATTCCATAATTAATTGCAACTTTCTTTTAAAAGGTAATTTTTGGGGTATTTTATTTTTGGTCTAAAAAATGGAAATTTATATTAAAAAATATATTTTTTTGCAGAAAATTAAAATTCCTCTAAGCGAAATTCTTTTATTTAAGAACTCAAGGAAAATCATTTGAACAATACCAAATAAAAAAAAAATATTTGGATTTTTGAAATTTTGTCAAGAAACGCCCTCAAAGACAGTATAAATAATAATGACATACTAAGTACCATGAATTAAGTAAAAAACGACATGTATTTGAAGACTGATGCAAAAATGGCGCCCAACGTATTTTGCTAATTTAATGCTCTCTAATTTTCTCGGCAACATTAGTTAAGCATATAAAGCTATTCTATGATAATCATTTAAAAAATCGACTTTGAATATTTTTTTTACTAATAATTAAAAAAAATTTAATTTTTTTTTTAATTGAAGACTTATTAGTAAATGGCGCCCAACGTATTGTGCCAATCTATTACTCTTGGAAACATAAAGCGGAGTAGCTTTATATATTTATTTCTTTATAAAATATAGCCGTGATTTCGCTCCTTTTTATCAAAACTTAAAGTAAAAAAAATCCTCGAACATTTTTCATTGAAGTTTTTAACTAAAAATTTAAAATTTTAAATTATTTAAAAAAAGATCAAATTTAGCAAAATGAAATGAAATTGAAGACTGGTGCAAACAATGGCGCCCAATTTATTTTGTCAATCTAATTATCTTGGAAACACCGACTGATGCTAAAAATGGCGCCCAACGTATATAAAGCAATTCGATTTTCATTTTTATGGAAAATAACTATAGTTTCTTTATTTTTTGTCTAATCTCTAATTTAAAAACTTATTTGAATATTTTTTAACTAAAAATTTCAAATTTTGACATTTTTTTTGAAAATGGCGCCCATCGAATTTTTCAAATCTAATTCTCTCGGTAACATATAAATCTACTCCAGTTTATTTGTTTATAAAAAAAAGTTTTTTTTTTGTTTTCTATAGAAATTCAAAATGAAAAAAATTATCTTTAAATATTTTTTAATTGAAAGTTACAATTTTTGAAAAAAAAATATTTTCAATAAAAAATAGATACGATATTTTTGATTTAAGAACAGAACAGGTTTTTAATAAAAATATTCTTTAAGGGGCTATTTTATTTTTCACAAACATCTGAGCGCCTTACGCCTTGATCTCCAAAATCATAAACAAAAATATACCTTAACATTTAAATATTTTCAATCCAATATTATTATTTTTAATTAAAAATTATTCTAAAGAAGCAAATATCAGTGTGCCTCAAACCGAAGTATACATTATGCCTTGATCTCCAAAAACCAAAATTAAAAAAATTACATTTTTATTCCACAACATAATAATAATTTCAATCCAATATTAAAATTATTTTAAATAAAAAAATGATAAATATGATTTAAAAAAAAAAACTAATTTTAAAGGGGCTATTTAATTTTTCCCAAGCATCTAAATGCCTCGAATCGAAACATACATTACACCTTGATCTCCAAAAATATCAAACAAAAAAGAAATTAAATTTGTATTCCTCAACATTTAAATATTTTCAATTCAATATTATTATTTTTTAATTAAAAAAGTATTTATTGAAGTTAATTTTTGAAATTATCAGTTCTTTCAGATTGTGATGAATATAATTTAGACATCTTTCAACGATTTTCATTATTATTTTTTGTTTTTCAAATAAAGAATATTTTCAAATCCATCAGAATCTTGGAGTTTTTTTTACAAGCCGTTGTATTTCAAAAATTCATTTTTCCTAAATTTTCTAAAATTTTCAATTTTGTTTTTTTTTTAATTATTTCCAATTGTAAATATTTAAAATAAATATAAAAAATATTTTTAAAAATTCTTCCAAAATATTTTTTTTAGAAAATTTTCTGTTAAATTTTTTTTTAATTTTTCCTATATCCATCTGAAATTTTGAAAATGTTCTAAGACTTCGATTTTTTCTCAAAATTTCCCCTTCTTCCATTTTTTATCCCGAATTAGATTTTTAAATCCTATGCCTCCCTCTGTCTCCCGAAAACTATCACTGATTATTGTGTTGCACTTTTGTTTATGGTTAAACCCTTTTCTTGAAACTTACCAAAACCATTCAAGGTCTGCATAAATGGTGTATCCGGCCTACCCGTAAACTCTTCCCGTCGGAAACATTCACGTATCATTTTATAATCACTCATCACCACGGTCAATTGGCTACCCAGCCGGGTGGAGAATAGGGAACCGTATTTTTTGGCCAATTCCATGAAACGGGTGTGTTTTTCACTGCCCATAAACAGCAAATAGCCGATGACGGGTAGACCCCAGGGTCCTGGCGGCAAGCGTCTCAGCTCACGATACAAATTCACCACCCATTGCAGGAAACTGATGATGGTCAGTATGGAGATGAAGACAAGGAGCAAATGTTGCATGTCATTGATTTTGAATTGGCGAACCATGAATTTAATAAAATACGAATCGGTGAGCAACATTTTGAAAGGATAATTAACTTTTTCTTGTTCTTGTGATAGAAAATTTCTTTTTGATTTATTGTTTAAACAAATCTTGTAGTTTTTTGTTTTTCTTCCAACTTTATTTTAGTTTTGTAAATTTTTTACAACAAAAGTTCTCATGCTTTTCTTTTGGATTCACAACTTTCGAAATTTTGGTTTCTTCTTCTTTTTTGGGCATATAATTTTTTTATTGTTGCACTTTTATTCACACTTTTATTGCCCTCATAGTCTCAATATATGTTTCTTTTAGTTTTATCTTGTTTGTTATATTTTATTTATATTTTTAAAAAATATTTCTTGCATATAACACAAATGGCATTTTATTTTGTTAATTTTTGTTTCTCATAAAAAAACGTATTTTTTGTTTTTTATTTAATCTATAATTTATTTTCTTTTTTTTTCTTTGAAAATTTTTTCTTATAGACGATTGTAGACGACTTCGCGCGTTGCGTTTATAGATTTCGACTAATGTCTCGTCGTTATGTCCTTGCGACTTTTATAACAACCGATCATACGATCGATGTTGTACGCGCTGATCGTGCGAAGTGTTCGATCTAAGCCCAAGTTATTCTTAGCAAACCTTAAAGCAAAGATTCATATATGAGTTGATTTCGTCGCAAGAAACAAGAGCGCTGCAGTCAGAACAACAACAACAGCAGCCGTGAAACTGAAGAAACAGCAACGGCGAATGAGTGAAAGAGAAACGCTCTCTGGCCCTCGGGTTGTATTGGCCAGGTGAGTAAAAGAGCACCAATGAATGGTTCAATCTAGTTTTGTTGTTGTAAGCTTAAGTTTAATCATGACTTAAGTTCGTTTCGAACATGTTTGATAGTTGCATTACAACATGTTGTAGTTGGAAGCGCGATCATTTGTTTACCAGATGAAGAAAAAAAAAACTTATTTCTCAATTTGTAGAGGTAAGCTCTCTGTTTATATTTTTTGAGTTGGAGCTGTTGTCTGCTCTCCGCTCGCTCAGCGTGTATTGGGGGGCTTGTGTTATCATTATCGTAGCCGTCGTTGTCGTCGTCGTCATAGGTGATGGACAATCTCTCACTCACTTGATTTTCCCCCCTCTCACGAGGGGATTCTCTATTGTGTGTGTGTGCGTGCAAGCCTCCATATGCCCCTCTTTCCATAAAACTTAGGAAGTATTTCCTCGCTTTATGCACTTCATAAGTTTCATGTTCAAATAGACTTTCATCGTCGGTTTTGAAGTTGTTGTATTTCTTTATTGAATTTCGTCGACTCATGTGTAAATAGAAACAAAAAAAATGTTATCAATAATTCAATTGTACAACAGCTTTTCGGTACTAAATTGTGCTTAGCTTTATTTGAATTATTTTGTTGCGCTACAAACTAGAATGAAAGCATTGTGGATGTGGTACACGACTGGAGTCAAGTGGGATTTTAATATGAAATATTCAGGAGAGAGAAATTCGAACTTAAAAAGATTTTGTGTCATATGATATGTTATTATTGGAGAACCGTAAGGCATTTTTTCAGTTTTAACACCATTATTAAAGTTAAAGTATTAGAAAAAATTATGTCAAGTATACAATTATATGATTCTTTCCAGTACTTCCTATTACAGAAGAAATTGAAAATGTGTTCATGTCCCCCTAAACTATCCGATATTCCTACTTTGATAAATTTAGATAGATTTTCCAACGAAAATTATCTGAAGTGGAAACTAGATTCTTTGGCAGAAAAGTTTTGATATTTGTTCATGTATATCTTGTAACTCCCATATTTAATATTTTGATGATTTTAGTCACATTTTCTAAATTTATTATTTGGACTTTTTCAAAGTCCCCTATAGCTCCTACATGACATTACCTTCCAATCTTCCTCATTTGAATGATTTTGAACAAAGATACTCGGTATTTTAATGATATTTGTCTTAGTTGCATATCCTCCATACATTGCATGGAGGGTATATTAAGTTGGTCATTTCGTTTGTAACCCATCGAAATAATCATTTTGACCCAACAAAGTATTTACATTTTCTTTATCAGCGTAAAATTCTGAATCGATTTAGCCATATCCGACCGTCTATCGCGCTAAAATCCAAATAACATAAAGTTGTCTTTTGTCAAGTTCAAGTATAGCCACCACATAATAATACCGCCCAATATTCGGCATTTTGACGATTTTTCATTCTAGCGGAATGGGTTAGTATTCGGTGTTTGAATTTCATAATGGGTTCTAGTGAGTTCTACCTCCTATGGCATAAAATCTTCTACATATGTCCACGTTATCCTATAGCCTCCTTATAATTGTACCTCCCGATGTAAGGTAATTTGACGATTTTATCAACAGTTTTTAACAGAATATCTTTTAAAACTGTATTTGGAGTTCATAATTGTTTCTCTTTCCTGTGACAAATAATAGATATAGAACCACGTTTTCCTATGGCCCTATATAACGGTACATTTTCCATATTCGGTAGTTTGATCATATTAGCCTCAATTTCTAACGTACTGGAATAAAATGTAGTCACCGATCATAATGGGATCTCTCTATTATGACAGAACATTGGCCACATAGGTTATTGTTTTTCTATAGCCCCCATATAACGATAACGAGTGATTTACCTAAAAGCTTCTGCACTCTTGTTACAGGACAATTTTTATATAGGACAACATTTTCCCATCATTTTGATGATTTTAACCACAGTTTTAATAGAATTGTTTTAAATTTGGATTGCATATTTTAAAAAACAGGAGTGAGGCATACGCTTCGAATACTAACAAGTAAAAAAGCTGACCGGGCCGAACTTTTAATACCCTCCACCATTCGGTACAAATTTGGCAATTTCCAAAAAAAAAAAACCGTTAAAAATTCTGGATAAATCTTAAAAATACCGAATGCTTATACGACAACGTGGGCCTGCATAGGCAACTTTTGTCATAAATTATTACAATATTTAAATGCGAAACTTGAAGAAAAATCTGTTTATAATGTAGCTAAAATCGTCAAAATACCGAATATGGGGGGTACCGTTATATGGGGGCTATACGAAGACGTGGACCTGCACAGACAATTTTCTGGCATGGGCTGAAGTATCCATTACGAACTTCACATGCGAAATTTGAAAGAATCCCTGTAAATAATGTCGCTAAAATCATTAAAATACCGAATATCGGGGAGTACTGTTATATGGGGGCTACATGAAGACGTGGACCTACATGGCTCATTTTTTGACTTTGGATGAAGTATCCATTACGAACTTCAAATACCAAATTTGAAACGATTCCGGTAAACAATGTCGATAAAATCATCAAAATACCGAATATCGGGGGGTACCGTTATATGGGGGCTATATGAAGACGTGGACCTGCACAGATAATTTTCTGTCTTAGGCTGTAGTATCCATTACGAACTTCAAATACCAAATTTGAGATAATTCCGGTGAATAATGTCGCTAAAATCATCAAAATACCGAATATCGGGAGGTACCGTTATATGGGGGCTATACGATAACTTGGACCTACATGGCCCATTTACGAACTTAACCTGCCTACTGGGAAAATATACATGTGTGCAAAATTTTAGCCTTCTATCTCAATTTGTTCGAAAGATAGCGTGATTACAACAGACAGACAGACAGACAGACGGACATGGCTAAATCGTCTTAGAATTTTACGCTGATCAAGAATATATATACTTTGTTGGGTCTGACATGAATATTTCGAGGACTTACAAACGGAATGACAAAATTAATATACCCTTCATAGTATGGTGGAGGGTATAAAAATTCGGAATTAACAGGTATATAAAAAGTCCGGCCCGACCAAACATCTTTTTTTAACTTTTTTTCGGAAATCACACACAATTTCCACCTTTCGGTAAAAAAAAACAATTTTTTATAAAAGTATCTGAATTCAAACGTGTTCCAACAAAAAACAATTTTTTATAAAAGTATCTGAATTCAAACGTGTTCCACTTTAAACTACAAATATCAGTAAGACCGTTTGGATATTGCTGTTAAACTTTTCAAAAAACCATAAAGTGGGTGAGGACGTTATATGGGGGCCATACCAAAACGGAGACCTATACAGGCAATTTTATACTTCAAGGATTGTCATCTACCAAATTTTCTTAAATACCACATTTGAAACAATTTCGTGGATAAATGTCAAAGTACCGAATATCGGTGGTTATCGTAATATGTACGCTATAGGAAAATATGGATCTAAATATTTAATGTTTCCCCATCGGAGCTAGAACCCATTATGATCAACAAATACCAATTTTTATACAAATCCGTGGAAAAATGTGGCAAAAATCATCAAAATAAAATAAATAAAATCGGGAGTTACAGTTATATGTCGGCTATACAGAAACGTGAATCTACATATACTATGTTTCGACACCGGAGCTAGAATCCATTTTGACCTACTAATACTAATTTTTAAACAAACCCGTGGCAAAATGTGGCAAAAATCATGAAAATACCGATTATCGGGAGGTACCTCATTTTCAATACCAAGCATCCTATACACAATACAAATTGTTCTGCTAAATTTTGAAGCTCTACGTCAAATAATGTGGGCTGTATCGTCATTTCAACAGACAGACAGAAGGACATGGTTAAATCGACTTAGAATTTTATGCTGATCTTGAATATATACTCTATGGAGTCTACAACTAATATTTATGGATGTTACAAACGGAATGACAATGTTAATATACCCTCCTTGTCAAGGTGGATGGTATGATAAGTAAGCAAAAGCTATGGACCGAACATATGGTACTCTACAACACTATTGGAAAACTCCCTTAGGTCTAAACCCATTTTAGATTTTTTTGTAATGTAAAAAATTTTTTTCATTATTTTTTTACTGGTAGCATTTGCCCTTTATTTACGTCCTGAAATGCTGACAATTTCCCCCGGAAGTTGTGGTCCATTTGACCTATAAAAATTATCCGATGGCCATCAAAAATGATGGGCTTCTGCTCTGTTTAAACTCTTACCTCATGTGAAATTCCGTGTCTATTGGAGTAAGCAAAGGCTATAGCCGTGCGGAGCCGACAATATGATACTATACAACACTATAATATATTGGAAAACACCCTTAGGTCAAAACCCATTTTAGTATTTGTTTATATAATGCCTGCAAAAAAGCCCGGCTTTGACCTTTCTTTACTGGTTTTCAATGGAATTATCCTAAATTTGGCATTTGAGGTTTCTTACGCCTTTCAAAAAATATTATCAGGGTCCTCATTTTGACATTGTACATATCATGTTGGGGGGAATCGTTTTGACCCGACCAAATTCACTCCTCTTCTTGTTGCCAACAGGGCGTAATATATTGAATATAGGGTACCAACATTACACTTTCAAACATCTAATATTTTTTCTTCTTTTGAAAGTTTTTATCAGTTGATATGAAGCAAGTTCACCTACTTATTTTCTATTTTTATATAAATAAATTTTAATCTTGTCCAAACATGGCTTCTTTTATTTGTTGTTGCACATCGCAGAAGAAAGAGGCACGAGCCACTGTATTTGAACAGATAGATTAGAATAGAGTAAATATTTTATTTCCGTCTGGTGCAATGTCTCGTATCACTTTTTAATTACAACAAAATAGGCGT